ACAATCATACAATGATTCTATTTTAAATGAAAAATATATAACTTGATAAAACAATATATATAAGACAAAGAAATTTTAATACATATATTTAATAAATAATGATACAAATGTTTCAATTAATCATCACTATCATCGCTATCATCATCATCCTCAACATTATTACTATTTCCCGAGGATTTTGAATCTTTTTCTTCTCCAAAGTCCTCCTCTTCTTCAGATGTATTAGCATCAACCTCTTCTTCAGATGTATTAGCATCAATCTCAACTTCTATAACACCTTCTGGACATAGTTGAAGTGATTGGTATGTAGTTAAATCTATAGCTAATGAAGAGCCTTGCATTATGGAGGGGTCATCATCTTGAAAAATGTCATTAACCTCTTCTGAAGATGAGGTAGATGAGGTCTTAATTAGATGTCTAGATTTGATTTTGCATGTTGCCAACCATCCCCAGGTAGTTCTATCTGTGGCTGCTGGATATGGAGTATAATAAACTTGTTATGCTTGACTAGAAAGGCAAAATGGCTCCCCTGTTGAAAGTTTAAACCTTGGATTGACATCAACAATTCCATGTTCAGCATTGACACATATTCCTCGGTCCGTGTCATACTAATCACAATTAAACAATATTACAATCTCTTGATAGTCTAAGTGTCCATAATACAATAACTCGATCACCTCTTTTAAGACGTCATAATAATCAGTTTCATTTGCAGAATTAATGGTGGTTCCTTTAACACAAACACCACAGTTATATGTTTTTCTATTACTAGTAAACTCTTCAGTCAAAAATCTAAAGTCGTTCACGTAGAACCCATTATAAACATTCACTTCAAAGATTGGGCCAACTGCAAGGTGGATAAGTTGTTTGTTGATTTCATATTGTCCACTAAACAACTATATTTGAAAAAAATTTTAATTTAGTAATATTTAATATTTAATTAAAAATTTAAGAAAATAATATATAACAATTTATTACCATATTTTTAAACCATTAAATAAAAGTATT